CTCCTCCCCCTCCCCCTCATCCTCCTCATCCTCCTCCTGCCCCCTGGCGTCCTACCTTCCTCATAATGGGACCCCTCTCGGGCGGAGCTGGGCCTGCTCGGGGGGGGGGGGCGCGGTGGCCTCGTGGAGGCCGCGAGAGCCCCCCCTGCCTGCGGGGAAGCCCGATTGGGGGCCTCGCCGCCCCTGGTTCCCTCCCTTCCCCGGAGGGGCCCCCCCGCCCAGCGCCGCTCTCCCCTCTACGGCCCCGAGGCCCGAGGCCAGCCGCTGGAGAGTCCAGAGCATCAAAAGGGCGCCCCCCCGAGGGCGCGAAGTCATTCGCGCTTCGGCCCCGAACTCTCCTCGTCCTCCTCTTCTCCCCCTGGGGGCCTCGCGAGAGCGCGAAGTTCTTCGCGCTCTCGCGCTGCGCGAGAGCGCGAAGCTGGGGGCCCCTGGGAGCATGGCGGCAGGCTGGCCGCCTCAGTCTTCGCCCGGGGCGAGCTGCAAGGGACGAGGGCCAATGCAAACGGAGGTCGGCCAGAACCCCAGATCTTGCAGGATCCTAGGCTGGCGCGAAGGATGACGCCGCGCCAGAGGCCTACCTCCCAAGCGCTCGGCATCGCTCGGACGTGTGCATTTTTCCTTCGGCGAGGACGTGACAATCTCACCGACCTGCTTCACTGCGGGGTGCAACCTTGATCCGTCAACGGCCCCCCTCCACTTGGCGAGGGCGTGCGAGAGAGCAGCCGAAAGCTGCCTCACATACATGCTGGCGTCATCTCTGGGGGTGCCGAGCTCAAGAGCGATCGCATCATTTGGCGAAAAACCATGCACGAAACCGAACAAAACACAGGGAATGGACGTCCGAGCGATGGCGAGAGCGCTTCCCTGGCGCGCCCGAGACGGCCTCCCGCGTTGTCGCCCTTCCTCCCTCAGGGGGGACAGGCATCGGCACACAAACACAAATCAACGCTGATCTCCACGAGAAGTGGAGAACTCCAGGACAGAAAGGGGGAAGAGGGAAGCTTGGCAGATGTGGAAGACATCGGAGTCCAGGAGTTGCTGTTCTGTTTGAACCATAAAAGCATTACACTGTATTATTAGTATCACTATTATTGTTTGGTAGTATTATTGTTACTTTGTTATCAATTTACTATCATTGTTATTTTATTATGAACAATCGTATGATTCCTATTGCTGTCATTTTTATGTATCAGTATTACTATTGTTCATGAAGGCCCCCTGGGCCATGCCTTTGCGAACCCGAGACGGCCCCCCGAGTTGTCCAGGCCACCCGTGGGAGCGCGAGGACGATCGCGCTGCGCACGCCGCGGTCTGGGCCAGAGCGGCTGCCCGCTCTCGAAGGGTGCGGCGCGAGGGCGCGGGGATACGAAGAGCCGGATCGGCGGGGAGGACTGGGGGGGAGGAGATCGAGGGGGCGATCGAGGAGGATCGGAGACAAGGAGGAGGAGGAGATTCAGAGATTCAGATCTATCGCGAAGCGAATACAAGGAGGAGGAGGAGAGAATGAGTAGCAGGAGGAGGAGGAGGAGGACGGCGAGGAGAGCAGGAGGAGGAGCAGGAGGAGGACGAGGAGGAGGAGGAGGAGGAGGAGAGGAGGAGGAGGAGGGGAGGAGGAGGAGGAGGACGAGGACGACGAGGATCAAGGAGGAGGAGGAGGAGGAGGAGGATCGAGGAGAAGCAGGAGAAGGAGGAGAGAATGGGGAGGAGATGGACGATCGAGGAGGAGGAGGAGGAGGAGGATCGAGGAGGAGGAGGAGGAGGAGGAGGAGGAGGAGGAGGAGCGGTCCTCGAAGGTTGTCAGGCTGTCGCCCGTCCTGGCTCCTCCCGCCCTCGCCCCGCCCGCGGGGCGGGCCGCGCCCGCGGCGCCCCGGGAGGCCCCGAGGCTCCCCATCGCCGCGCGCGGCTGCGACGCCGGGCTGCTGCAGGCCGGCCGCCGCGCGCCGCGGCCGTGCGTTCGCCTTCGCCGGCGTGTTGTGCGGTATGTTTACGCCTTCGCTGGCGGTCGCCTTTGCCGGTTCGCCTTCGCCTCATCATCGACTACACATATGTCGGGGGCGGAAAAGAGAGGGGGGTGGATATCATAGCGGGGGCCATGATATTTCCCGAGATCTCATGGCGCCCCTTCTTATTTCATTACGTCCCTGCCCCCCCGCTGGGCCGCGCACATGCCGCTGGTCATGATTTGCACCCCCCCCTCTTAGACACCCCCCTCTTGGCCGCTCCCGAATATGATGTTCCAACCTACTTTATATTGAATTGCCAGAAAGGAACTCGAGCGCCAAAGCTCGAGGGTCTTCCCGTGTCGGGCCCTGGGATACACCCGTCCGACACTGTTTCGGCACTTTCCCGGGTGCTCGAAAATATTTCTGGGATGTGGTCCTGAAGTGCAATGGGAGCAACATGAGACTACACGTAAGTGTGACCTTTCGCTGGAGTGGCCTTTGGTGCGGGCCCATCGGGGGTGCCCCGATTGCTGAGCGCAAGGCTATAGTAGCTGCCTGCGCACCCGGATTCGGCCACACTGCGCCCCCTTGGTCCACCAGAGGTCACTCTTGCCTGGGGTCACTCCTTGCGAGCAGTCGATATCGTTGTTTCTGGGCCTCCCAGACGAGGGCCGCGCAGATGGGGTCGGAGGATTGCGCCGCAGCGCCGATGCATCGGCGATGCGGCTTGATGCGGAGCCCGTGTTTCTCCACGCCGACGTCGCCGATGCATCGCCGGCGATGCAGTGGCGAGATGATGCGATCTTTCTAACCCATCTACTCGGACCCCATCTAGCAAACTGGCGCAGCCAGGTACATATCCTGCGTTGTATGAGCCATGCTATTCCGCACCATCTCCTGTTGTCACGCCATGCTCACGGTTGGATACGTCGCAGAGTATTATTGACCATGATTGGTCGGCGCCTGCACGAATCATTACGTCGTGAACCGTCCCCTTCCTTCTCCCTCCCCCGCCAGTGATCGCTGGGAGATTAAACAACTGTCTCCACGCAGTGCTGAAGCGTCCAGGGTTGTGTATAGACCCACCACAGGATGTTCTAAGAACATGGTTGTGGTTGACGCGACATGTTCTTAGAGCATGTCTGCCTGAGGCAGATTTGCTTCAAGTAATCGGCTGTAGGTTCTGAGGTCATTGTTTCTGTTATTCGGAACTTCTTTTGTTCTGACAACGTGTCGTGGTACGCCTATGGTATTGCGTCGCCGTCCGCGGTCGCCCGTTGTGTCGTCGTCAGGCCCTGGTCGTCTTTCGTCCTGATTAGGCAGCGCGCCCCAGGGGGGAAGGGTGGAGGGGTCTCGAGGTTCGAAGTCTTCGTGCGTTTTGGTCGGTTCTTGGCGGTTCCTCAGCCTCCAGATGCTTCCCTGCAGCTGCGCCTCGAGAGAGCGTACCAGTGGTGCCCGGATTGTCCCGAAGGGCCGCTGGAGAGCCGAGTCCTGGTCCAAAAACCGCCAGGACTCTAAGAGGGGGCGGGCCTCCCCACAAGTCTCAGAAGGCTGCTGGCCGTCTGGGGAGCTTTTTTGAGCCCTCTGCGGGGCCAGCGGGGGCTCGTCGTAAGTCGGGCCCGTCCCTCCACAGGAGGAATATTCAAAAATAGCCCAACCATAGTCTGGGGACTATGTGTTGAATCTTTGGGGTATTTTTGGGAGCATTTTTGATGCATTTTTTGTCAAATATATATATTTTTGGGGGCATGTTTTGCACTTTTTGGGGCATTTCGTGTTGAATCTTTGGGGCATTTTTGGCATTCTTGAGTCTTTGACCATTTGGGAGCATTTTGGGGGGGTACTCTTCTCCGTCAGAAATACCTCTGCAGGGGCAGGCATGCCCGACGTACGGCTTGTCGCAAGGCCAGCTGGCTTCCGAGCAGGCCCGCCCCCTCGGACTCTGCCGCCCTCTGGCGCGCCGCCCCGGCTGGTCCTCCGCCCGCGGCCGTCGACGCGCCGCCGTGGCCCGCAGCCGCGGCCGGCTCCGATCGGGCGCGCGTCGGTCTGGAGTGAAGTCGGGCGTGCCCAAAAATAGTCAAAAATAGTGCAAAAATAATCAGAAATAGTCAAACATAGTCCAAAAATAATCAAAAAGTAGTCAAAATAGTCAAAAAGTTTGGAGTTAGGGGGAATATTCAAAAATAGTAAAAAAATAGTCAGGGGACGATGTTTTAAAATTGTGTTTGAATCTCTGGGGGGTATGTTTTGAGTATTTTTTCTTATTTTGCACCCAGAATCCCCCTGTAGGGGGACACGCCCGACTTAGGTCTGGAGGTCGGCGTCGGAGGCTCTCATCCGGGGCAGCGTTCGGAGAGGCCGGCTCGGGGTCGGCGGCTACAGGGTGTGGTTACGCCGGGGTGTGGCTTGCGATCGGCACCGTCGGGGCCCGGGGGGCACGACGCTGTCCTCGTGGGGCCCTCCTCGGGGCGCGGCGGAGAGCTCTCCCGAGGTCCTCGCCCGCCCCCCACGGGTGCACCTCAGGGTGCCGGCTGCAGCCCACACCCTCTGCAAACCACGCCCCTCGGAGTCGCCGACGGGGGGGGAGGCATCGGCCCTCCCTCGCCTGCAGATCGCCGTGGTGGGCCATCCGCTGGGGAGCACGCGGACAGTCGCCATCGGGGCTCATCGCCAGTCGATCGTGAAGTCGGGCCTGTCCCTCAACAGGAGGATTATTCAAACAAAATAGTCTGAAAATAATCGGGGGACCCATTTTTTGACTATGTTGGTACACTTTTCGAGAAATTTTCATTTTCCCTCCCAAATCTGCCTCTAGGGGGACACGCCCGACTCAAATCTATCGGCGAGGTATCGCCGATTTCAGGTCGATGTTTCCCACCTGAGCCGGTCCCCTACTCTCGCTCCCTGTCATATGAGGGGGGTTTGGCAGGCTGGTGTCGAGTCGACGCGGCGGCGACACCAGCGCGGGCGTTCAGGGTTGAAGGCCCCGAATCGGTCGATGTCTAATTGGCGGCGATGTCGGAAAGCCACGATCGTTCAGGACAGAAGTGTTCGCGGAGTGTCAGAAACCAGTGTGCAAGCCGTCCCGACACGAACCTGCCGTACTTCGGAGGGGCGAGGGGGACGACCAGCAAGAAAGGGAAGACGGAAATTCAGCATCTTTTGCGGGCAGCGCACATCAGCAGATTGTTCAGTCAGAGGATTGGTGCCACAGTGTGCATTAGACGCTCGGCCATCTCCAAGGGTTTGTGGAGTTTTACGCCCTCGTGTCGCGTTTAAGGCTCCTTACATTGTTGTGTTTACATCGTTGCCGAGACCCTATCAGCCAAAAAGGCTTGTCACCGAACACAAATCCGTGATCCGTGACCGACAACTTGCCCGAAATTGCAACCGAAATAGTCTGGCCTTGTTCAACGTGCTTCATTTATGCATGCTCAGAGCCACAGCTGCAGAATCACTGTGGATTTGCCAAGCGTTTGATTGGTGACTGCAGTGCATGCGAAGATCATCTGCGCATGCACTACAGTCACCAATGAATATCGGAAAACAGGAACTACGGAGGTCGAACACATGCGGGTGAAAATCGAACACAAACTGCAATGGCTTAGTTTTAGGCGATAGTTGCGCGATTCGTTCGCGCACCCAGTTGTTCACCCTTCCGCGCACCCGTCCCTGCACCCAAGTAATCCCTGGGAGTTTCACGTAAAAATTGACCATGCAACGCAGATGCACTCGAGATAGTGCCAGCAGGCGTCGAGGCTCGAGTATTGTGAGAGATTCTCAGCATGGCTGGCCGCTGCCCCGAATGCAGGGCGCATGTCGTTGAAGTGTGGCCCGTCCACGGAGATGTCTACTGCTCAGTTTGTTTGGACAGCGCTCCTGTTCCTTGTTTGATTCGTCCGTGCCATCATTTGATTTGCAAGGACCATGCGCACAGACTGAACATGACGGTCGTGGACCATGATCAGAACATGACGGTCGTCCCTCAGCAGCGTCGCCTCGAACTGAGCCGCATGACGGTCGTCCCTCAGCAGCGTCGCCTCGAACTGAGCCGCTCGGGCACGGTAGCGGTAGACTTTCGTTTGTTCGACAACGGTTGTACGATCGACGTGGAGGCAGATGGTTGGGGCCCCGACGAGCCGTCTCCCAGCCTTTGGTACATCAATTTCGTGAACCTTGCAGGTGACGTGGCCTTCCACTGGGCCAGCCGCAGGGGGCACGTTGTCACCAACACGAAACGGGAGACAACCGGTTGGATGAACGAGGACATTCACAGTCCGAGTCCTTACCCGGCGGACAGCGCTGTTCGCTGGAGGACAAGGTTTTCTCGGCGTGGCTTTGGTTGGAACGTCTTCGTGAACGGCCGCGAGTTCTTTTTCCGGGACAGGGTCAACGAACCGATCGTCGGGATTAAGGTGTCAAGGAACATCAGGCACGTGTTCAGGCTGTTTGTGCAGTGAAATCTGGAATTCGATGACCCGCTCGACTTCCGAATTGCTTGGCGCTCGAAGTGTGCTGGCAGTTTTGAAGCGGTGGCAGCGTCTGGCCTTCAAGAATCTTGGCGTGACCGTGAGCCGTCGGCCCACGCAACACGCCGACGAGGGTCATTGATGCTCTGTACATATAATGTTCGTGGTTCTGCGCTCATCGAGTGTATGGGAGGGGCTCAGCATCGAAAAGGAAACGCCTTTTCATGATTTCGAGAGTGGGCAGTGCACGAACATCTGTAACATTGGACTAGCCTCTCGGACTGGTTTAGTAGCCCCGACTCGTTCTTACGAAGATCTCACAGGAGTTGCCGCCTCAGTCTCTCTTGTCCAGAGCCACTCGTGTGAGCAGCGGATGCATTTGACCCGATTGGCGTCGTCGCCCTCGTCGTCCTGGCCCTCCTCCGCCTCGTCGTTGTCCTCGCACTCCCCCTCCTTCTCCTCCTCCTTCTCTTTCTCATCCTCCTCGTCCTGTCCCTGCTCCTCCTCTCCTTCGCCTCCTCGTCCGCCTCCTTCCCCGGCGCTAGTGGGTGTCAGTTTCACGAAACTCAGAGGAAATTGCTCTTCCTCTTCCTCTCTCTCCTTCTCTTTCCTTCTCCTCCTCGTCCTCCTCCTCCCCCTCTTCCTCTCTCCTCCTCTCTCCTCCTCTCTCCTCCTCTCTCCTCTCTCATATCCTCCTCTCTCCTCCTCACCCCACCTCTCTTCTCTTCTTCCTCCTCCCCCATCCTCCTCCTCCTTCTCCTTCTCCTCTTCATTTACTTCATCCTTTTTGTTCCTCCTCCTCCTCTTCTCTCCTCCTACGCCGCTGCCGCTAATTTGTGTAAGGTCGTGTCCGTCCGGACTATTAATCGAAATCCCCTGGCGCTATATTCGGTGTCCCCTCGGGCGCGCGCGTCAGAGGCTGAACGCCCCAGAGGCCACTCTAGGCCAAGCCCGTCTGTGCGCAGTCACCGAACGACCAGGAGGGACCCGAACTCCACTGATAGAGACGGCCTGCTCATGGCCCCGGTGCTAATGTGAAACGTTTTGACTAAGCTCCGGGAGCACTACGGAGCCACCATCATGGCCCTCCAAGACATCCGTCACCCCGCTGACCGCTCACACCTCTCACTGGAGCGTCCGATCGCCAAAGAACGGAGCTCGGCGACTTGTGGGGGGTGGAGCCCCGGGGGGGATCACGTACAGCGCAAAGGGCCCGCGAGGCACCGCAGACAATATCGGGTCCACTGCGACTCAACACGGGGGGGCGCGCATTGTCGCGCAGCGTGCCCTCGTCGACACCGCCGGAAAGGACCCCACCAGGGCGGCCCGTCCCGCGACCGCGCGATGGGATTCAGACTCGGTGCCCCATATTCGCCCCCTTTCTGAGCGCCACCAGCGTCGCAAGAGGGGCAGGGACGGCTCCAGCTGCCTGGCATCGCTCGGACGTGTGCATTTTTTCTCGGCCAGGGCCATCGAGGAGCATCCTTGACCATTCGGCGAAAAAACCACTCACGAAACCGGAAAAAGCACAGGGAATGGACGTGCGAGCGATGGCCAGACTGCCAAGCCGAAGGCATGTTCGTGGCGTCGGTTTCTGCCGAGGTGGGAGCGGACAACACTGCGTTATTCCACCAGGTTGGGGATGCCGACGACAGGGTAGGGGATGCGCCGCGCTTCGTCGGCATGGACACCCCAAACGACACCACCGATTCGATGCTGTTTTTACCCAGATCTGCAACCTGGGGCGGTCAAGCTTCGCCGTCGGATACCCATGCGAAACGTCTCGCACCCACGGCCAAGACCTGGAGTGGGACCGAAGATCACCAGGGACGGGGAACGGGGAGGACCCGAATAGACGACGGGCCCACTAGCGGCAGAGGCAGACAATTGGTCACCAGGTTTGCTCTGTTCCGCGGTCTCCCCACCAAGGAGCACCTTGGTCTTATAGCTCTTCTCGACCTGGGCGTCGCCAGACAACGGGTGAGAGTACTGTTGGCGGCCATGGCCCCCCCTTTGTCCGATCCAGCCAATAGACAGCGATGAGCCAGGCGCCCTTGATGACTTCATCGAGCACGTCTACCGCGCGCACATGGGCGCGACAGAAACAGCCGACGAGGTCGATGAGTTCGTCGATCTCGCCGATCAAGCGGCGCGCGGGCATCGCAACGAACTCCGCACAGGAACCAGACGTGGAGAAACGCTCATCTCTCGAGCTTGCCACGAGGCCCCGCTGCTGCCGGTTGTCCCGGAGCACGGGCCACTAACGGAGCGGCAACTGATTTGGATCCGCTCTCAGGGCCACTCTGATCCATTACATTGGGCCTAGCTGCCCACCGCCAGCACTCGGGCGACCGCGGCGCCAGCCGCCCCGCACCGCGGACTGGGCAAACGTCAGAGGCACTTGGGGTCGCAGCAGACGTGTTCACCGAAAGGTTCTCGCCCGCCAGAATTTTCGATTCCCTCCGCATTTGGGACAGCGAGGGAATCCCGTCTGACCTGGAGCTCGGCGACCTCCTTTCCTCCACCGCCGCCCAGTCGAGACGCGACTGGCTCGCCAGAGAAGCGCGCGTTTTGTTATGGACTGGGAGAGCGCCTGCGAGCCAACGACGGAGGCAGAGCCCAAACCCAGTGGGCTGAAGCTGGTGATCTCGCCGGAGCACCGCTCATCCCCGCGGCCCCCAGCGCGGTCTCCCGCGCGAGCCCCCGGGCGCCGACGGAGGGCCCGCGCGGGGGGAGGGCGCGCCGGCGCGGGGCGCCGAGGAGCCCCCGCGGCGCCCGCCGAAGATGCCGCCGACAGCGACGGCGACGGCGACGGCGGGCGGGCCAGGCGGAGCCACGGCGAAGCCTCGCGGGCGCCCGCTCCACGGGCAGGCTCCAGGATCGACGCGCGGGGGCCCCTCCTGGGCGGGCGCCGCGCCGCGGGGCGCCGCGCCGGCGAGGCCGCCCCCGCAATTGGGGGGCTTCGCAGCGGGGTGCCACCATCAAGCAGTGGCGAAGTGTCCCGGCTCGCCTATAGCCCCTCCAAACAATGTTCTAAGAACTGTTTGTGGTTCCCACGAAATGTTCTTAGAACAGTTTTGGCTGGGACTGTCTTGTTTTGACACGTCGGGTTTATGTTCTAAGAACATTTCGTGGTATGACTATGGGAATGCAGGGACGGTCGGTCCCTGCTCAACACCAGGGTCTCCCAGAGCCAGCCAGCACCAGCCAAGCTCTCCGAGCGCGTTCCACCCTACTCACAAGCGTCCCCAAAACACATGTCTGCTTTGATGTATTTGATCGTCGACTTCCCTGTGGCGGATCCAGGCCATCTGCGAGTAGCTACTTTGCGAGTAGTGGAACGCGCTCGTCTACAAGCCCTGCACTCTCCCTGGCGAAGGGCTCGTCCACTTCGCCAGGGCGAGACGCGCCGCCGGATCGGGGGGTCTTGGTGGATGGGCCACTAACGACGCCGAATCTCTCCCGGACGGGATCCCGCGCCTCATCGCAGTGGCGCTCCGCGCCATGCCACGGACGGGGCGTGTGGCAAGCGCGCGAACGGCTTTCGCCACCTGCGCGACCCCTCGCTTGCGAGAGCGCAAAGGCCTGCTTCCCACAGACTACAGGCTGGCGTCCGCGATGTCCATCTGGACGCACGCGCGGGAAGCACCAGCTGACGACTGCCTGGCACTCTGTAGAGGGGGCTGGACCCGCCCCGCCAGTTTTGTGGCGGCCCCTCACGCTGCTGCAGGCGACGTCTGCACGACGCTCGCCTGCCAGGTGGATTGCGCGCAGCACCTCCAACTGCCGCCGGCGGGCGCCGACGTTGACCGACAGCAATTCCTCGACTACCTTGCAGTGTCAACCTTCCGCCCACTGCTGGTTGCCTGGCGGACGTGGCACAGGTGAGGCGTCATTTCCCACGCAAGCCACAGCCGGCGCATTCGCGCAGGACGCGCCTGCCCCGTTCCCCTGCAGCGCAGCGACGGGCGCCTCCACGGCAGATCAGTCTCACTGAACGGCGTCAAATTTCTCATGTGAATCTGGGCTAGTCGGCAGCGCGGGCACATCCCGCGGTCGCTCAGAATCGCGTTTGCCGACGACCGCAACTCCGCGTTTCCTGCGGCTTCGGCATCACGGGCCGCACTCGACCAAACGGTTCTCTTTGACGGGATTGACTGGGCAGGAAATACGCCCTGGTAAGGTCGCGGGGCGGTCGACGGGAGAGGAATTTCACCGTCGGGTGGTTGGGCGGCGCCTGGAACAGCTCCCGCGCAACTCACTGCAGGGTGAAGTTAGTTGGCACCGCGAGACCATTCTCATCTCCAGCACTCGCGCGCCCCATCGGCAAGCCAACCAGCTGGCGTCCTCCCGTCATCAAACTCAGGAACAGCCAGTCACGCTGCTCGACTTGTTCCAGCGATCGCACGAAGCCTGGAGCGGCCTGCATCTTGCCTTTCGCCCCGCAGTGGCCCGCGGGGCGTCCTTCCACGGCATCCTCCAAGCCTTTGTCCTCTGTCGACGGTCTGCGTGCGGCATACCCGTGTCAGCACCCCTCCCCAGCAGAAGGCCCCAGTAGCGAGAGGCACATGCTCGGTCGCCTGTTGTTTTCTGGGCCGCCGCGGGGGATGCCCCAAGGCGGTGCCTAGAATGTCTTCTCCAACTCCGCATCGCGCGTGCCCGCGCGCGTGCAAACAGGGCGGCGCTGCTGCCGCGGGTGCGCAGACGGGCTCTCGAGCGGCCTGCATGATCACCGCCTTCCCGCTTTGCCTCCCAGCCGGGGCCCCCTCTAGGCCGCGCCACCTCGGGGGTCACACAGCCACGCCCGATTTGTGTGCGGCACCTCGTGCTCTGTGGGGTGGGCCTACAGCGCGCCTCGGGTCCTCGACGAACCCTCGTCCGAAATTCTACGCGCCTCCAGTCCCTCCTCCTCCCTCCTCGTGCCCCCCTCCTCCTCTCTCTTCCTTTTCTGGTTGACCCAGAAGGGGGTTCCAGCTGAAAGGGGGTGGTGCAATTTATGTGGGGCACTCGTATTGTAAACGTATTGCGCCAGAGAATTGTATCGCATTGTATTTCAACTGATGTATCGCACGCGAAAATCCAGCAATACCTTTGCGCACCGGAATGTGCTGCACGCCCCAGATCACTTGCAACCCACAACTCTACTCAGAGCCCCGAATCATCAGGGGTAACTCGGGTCAGGGCTGACTCGGGTTCGTTTTTCGGGAATCCGAACCCGACTTACCCCGGACCCGAGTTACCCCGGATAATTCGGGCGTCCAGAGCCCCACATCATCAGGGGTAACTCGGGTCAGGGCTAACTCGGGTCCCTTTCGGGAATCCAAACCCGAGTTACCCCAGACCCGAGTTACCCCGGATAACTCGGGCGCCCACCAATCTACTGCACCGACTGTATCGCACCGCCCCCTTCCAGCTGGACCCCCTTTCGGGTCAACCGTACCCTTTCTCCTCACCGTTCCTCCCGTGCCCTCTACTTGGCGGCGCGCCGAGGGGGGTAGGGGGAGGGGGGAGGGCTTCTTAGAAGCACCCCTGCTTCTTAGAAGGCGCGGACCTTGCCTGTAAACGTAAGGCTCGCTGCTTCGAAGAAGCAGCCATCTTCTAAGAAGCCTTCCCCCCTCCCCCTACCCCCCTGTGCGCGCCGCCAATCGATGCGAGCCGCGGCTCGCCGCGCGGCGTCGAGGCAGACCCCTCCGCCGCTGGGGTCCGCGGGCTGTCCACCCCCTCGCGCTCGCGCCGCGCTGGGCCGCCCGCGGGGGGCGGCGGGGCGCCCGCGCTGCCGCCGGTCGCCGCCGCCGCCGCGGTCGCCGCTGCCTCTCGTCATTCGGCACGTTCGAGCTGGCTATGGACCTTGGCGAGCACGGGAGACGACAGGGCCGGTTTTTTACCGGTCCCGTTTTGCCGTTTTTGTTGCCGGTTCCGACGCCATTTTTGTGCCGAAACCGTCGCCGTTGTTTGACCGGTTCCGGCTCTGGTTCCAATCCTGGAGCCGTTTCTTTGCCGCTTCCGGTCGCCGTTTTTTTTGCCGTTTCCATTTTCAAGGGCCCTTTCTTATGGAAACGGTGAAAAAACGGCCCTGCCGTTTCCGGGGCCCACTAAGGTATGGACAGAATGTCCGAAATAGGAACATATACATTACCAGTGGCGGGCCGCTTTTCCATCTGAGGATGTTTCGAAGGTAAGGGTCGACGTCGGGGTGGCGTGGTGTATACTTTTTGTGTCCGCTTCCCGAGGAAACAACGAAACATGTATACACCAGTCTCCCGTATACACCAGGGCCCGTTGTCCTGTGCAAATTTCAGTGCAGGGCCGGAAAAAGCGGCGGTGTATAGAGTTCGGTTCCCTAGAATGGGCACGAAGAGTGGCAGAATTTCTGGTTCGTTTTGAACCAGGTTCGCTGTCCGCGCCACCGTGGACGTTGACCAAGTGAGGAGAAGGCCGCATGCCCAACAGCGGCCGTTGTCGGTTTGGGAAAACACATCCGCTGTTGGGCATGAGAGGACTTGCTTCTGTATACACTTCGGGCGTCCAAAGCCACGAAACGGGTTCTGAGGGAAACGTGTCCTGAGATTTTTTGCCGCACTGGGGCTTCATGGTTCCCCCACGGGCTCCATGACCGTCATAAAAACGACTCGGGTTGGAGAGTTGGTCTTGGGGGAAGGCCCTGGGGTCCAGGACCCGTTTCCCGCAGGAGGCCTTTTGGGCTGCCTGTGGCTGGTCGTCTCGGTGTGCGTGTCGGGCCTTCTTGGATTGTCGGCATCCCGAACAGGCGAGAACCGGGCACCGTTTCAAGACCCCAGGGAAATCAAGGGTTGTTGCCTCTCGAGGCCCTCTTGGGGGATATCTTCGGGCCCCTGTCGGGGCGTCTTGGGCCGTCTTGCATGTTCTTTGAGCCTCTCCAGCGTGTTGCAAGGCATATGGAAGGCGGCCTTGGGAACCATATGTTGATCCAAGCCAGTTGGTTCTTTATGTTGAAAAATATGTTGAGCCATAGGTTGGAAGGCATTTGGAAGGCATGTTCTTTAAGCTTCTCCAGTCTGTTCTGCAACCGTATGGAAGGCACCTTTTGGGACATGTTGGCGGCCACGGAGAGTGGACGTGGAGGCACCGAGGCCCCCAGAGGCGCGCTGACGAGTTCGTGCCCTGCACCCCCCTCAGAGGAGGGTTCCCCCCCTCCCCACAGATGGGATTGTGGACCCCACCCCCTCGCTTCCTTGTGTCATAAACGTCTGGAGTGCTGCCGGCCCGCGAGCGCACTCCTGCCTATCCCGGGTCTCTCATCCGTGCAGCTGGCCCACGGGGCCGCCGAAGAGCGGGTCGGGGTTAGGCATGCGGGCAAGATTCATGTCCATATCCAGTGCCTCGTGGATTTTTTTGGAAGCGGCGCCACAAGGCCGAGGCGCACTGGATGTGGATAACCAATCGAGCCTCTGGGGGGCAAATTTATCCACATCCAGTGCGCCTCGGGTTTCTCGGAAGGGAGCCCGAACCTCCATGCTGCTGTGGATATATAGACATGAGTATTGCCCGCAAGGCAGCCGTGCCCCCCCCCCGTCCCTGCCCCGCTGCGCTGCGATCGCTGGCGTCGTTGCCTCGTCTCTCCGCGCGTGCCGGGGAACATGGGAGGCCTGGAAATGGGCACCACCACCAAGACAGAGGGCTGCCTCCACAGGGGGGAGGTGATCCTAGATTTCGGTGTTGGTGGTAATATTTCGGCCACCTTGGAAGCCAGAATATTACCACCATCACCGAGATCGGGATCTTCTTCCCTCGGCGGAGGAACACCGCCGATCTTGGTGTTGGTGTCAACCTCTAACCCCAGGAAGCATTTAAGAACCCCCCCCTCCGGCAAATCGATAACCCTTCCGCACCATCATCCATATCCGCATCATCATCATTTTCAGCATCATCATCTTCATCTTCATCATCATCATCATCATCATCATCATCATCATCATCATCATCATCATCATCATCATCATCATCATCATCGTGTCCGGGTGCTACAGCTATCGTTCGGTTATTTCGGCCCTTCGGAATATCGAATAAAAAATGCGGTGCTACGATATCGCCGGGGGGGGTCTTAAATGCTTCCTGGGGTTAGACCTGTGAGAACAACACCTCGCGGCGGAGGGGCTGCCGCGCGAGCTGCCGTGAGGGCTCGGGCCGTCGGGCCCTCTGCTCCGAGAGGGGCATATGCCGCGGGGCTCGGTGGTGGGCCCGGGCCCGCCGTGGCCAGGAGGGCCCGTTCGTGCACTGTCCCGCGGCCTGCGGCAGGTCCCTCCTCTCTCCTCCCTCCTCCCTCCTTGATCAATTTCTTGCACAGTGCCGAAGCTGTCAGGTTACTCCCTTGGACTGGCATCGATCACAAGCATTCCAAGCAGAAAATCACAACAACAAAGATGGGATACTAGGGAAGCGTATACTACACGTGTACGATTCTTTCGGAATGGCTTGGCACTCAGGCATCCACTTACGTGGCTCACCCCCATCACATGCACCCTGGGCCTAAGGAGGCCTCCCGCACCGCTGTCGTGAAAACGCCATCCTCTGTGTACAAGCGGCCAATGGAGAGCCGCCCAAGGGGGGATGAACACAATCACCACCAACTACGACGGCACCAACGCGCTCGCAGCCACCAACCGAGCCCTACTCAGAGCGGTTGCCTTCAGGCAAGCCCACGAGCACGATCAGCGCTTTGCCATGGCAGCCATTGACCACTCCACCCTGACGCTCGAAGCTGCCGACGGCGCCGTCGAAGCTGAGAGCACCACAGGTGCTCAAATGGGCTTCACCCTCTGCCCGCGGCAATTCAACGATGCATACAACCTGTACGTCACAAAGTGGTGGGAACAAGGCCGCACGGACCCATACCAAATTATCCACGACACGACTAACCCAGTCGCAGGCAACACCCACGACTTATCCCTCAACACGTTCATGGACGACATTACTTATGTGCAGACGATCCTACCTACATCGACGGCTGGAGATATTGCACACCAACTCGACAACAACACCGAACGCTTTTCCCAAACAGTTGCAGCAGGAGGATGGGGATTCAACAACGCCAAGACCAACCACCTACTATATTTAGTAGGGCAAGGCTGTTACGGAAAGACCAGACAACTCAGACGCAGCAAAACACTGCAGGGTCAGGCGTTGAGGGAGATGCGTGTACATGGCCCTTACCTACCAGCTGGTCAGGGCATCACAGGCGAGGTCGTGCGGCGTATCGCAGCCATCCGCGTCGCATGGCGACAATGCGGGATCTTTTGGACCTCTAAGGTACCCCGACAGATAAAACGCATGATGTTCATGGCTTTCGTCGTAGGTGCGGCCCTCAGCGGATTGCCAGCGTTAGTTCTGACAGATACCCACACAACGGCAATCGACAGTGTACTAGGCAAATACCTACGGACGCTAGCGGGAGGAGCCATGTCGTGGACCAGAGCGGATGGGACCGTGAGGTGCAACAACTTGCGACAGGTGTTTAGATACTGGAGGCTCGAGCGCACATCCGTACCCTTACTTGTGCGGCGTTTGCGATGGTACCAGAACTGGTCTAGGCACCCTTGGGAGCACGGAGCAGTCATCGCAGCGGTTTTTGGGACATCCAGACTCGACGCGGCTCAGGGTATTCAGCGACTCGAAGGGCAGGGATTTGTGGGACCCTCCTCCACCCCGTGGGCACAGCAGTTTGCAGTCGACATGCATGCGATAGCAAAGGTAGACGAGAGCATGGGATGGTATGCAGACAGGGACTCAGACCTTGCCATATTCGAACAGGGGAGTGCGGAACAAAAAAACTGGCTGCACACCGACCCATCAATATTGTACAGTTACGAGCGAAACTGGGACGTGCTTACGACACGAGATACGACGCTGCAGGAGGAGGAGGGCAGGGGGGAGGAGTCACTGAAACCCTACTGGTGCGATCATACGACGACGGGCGAACACGACACGGAGCAGAGGTGTGGCATGCGCTTTGCGACATACGCAGCACTAGCTGGGCATCGCCGAGAGTCCCACAACATCCGACCAGTGGTGGCGTCCGTAATCGTCAACAACCAGTGCCCCTGGTGCAAGAGCACATTTTTTAATTGTAAGGTATGTGTCGACCATGCGACCAGGGCTGTCCACGGCCACGGTATTTGCCACCAAGACAGGTCGATGTGGTCCCACCCTATCTCCGACCCCAGCTCCCTCACCTGCCCGATCTGCAACCGCGAGGCCCAAACTCTCGAGGAGTATCACGCACACGTCCGCGAGCACATTGCAGGGCCAGGGTCGATCAGAGCGGCACGGGGTGAGGGGGCACATGTTGCACGGGGGCCACGGCGACTGGCGCATCAGGGCCAGCGCGAAGAGAGGAGGGGGCGCAGCAGAGGGGCAGCCGCCCTCGCAGCGCCCGCACCTCGGCGGCGGCGGAGTCGGCTCGTCAGACACACCGCAGTCGCAGCAGCCGCCCCAGCAGCCGCCCCCCACACAGCGCCGAGGCGGAGGCGGCCGAGGACCCCCAGGAGGAGGCCGTGGTGGTGGCGGCGGCGGCCAGGTGGAGCTGCGGGACCAGCTGAGATCGCTCCAGGGGCTCACCCTCCAGAGCTCGAACGAGATTCGCAACTTCTCGCGTCTCACGGGGGAGTTCTGGCTGACGCCGCTCGAGCCAGATTGGGTGCAGGCGCCGATGGAGACAGGCAAAGAGTACGGGCGGAAGGTGAAGCAGTTGGGCAAGGGGCACGGCC